AAATACATCGCGTTTTTAGTCGAAGCCAAATGATACATACTTAAAAAATCCAGAGTCAAGTGGGCCTAGTCTAAAAGGAGAAAATAGATATGATTTCCTACAAGCTATAATTATATGTTAACTTAAAAAAACGGACATTCTTTTAAAAGTTTTATATTTATTTGTTGTAATTAAAAACGGTAGCTTTTGTTAAAATCGTCTGTTTTGGCGTCGGCGGCGATTTCAAACGGGATCGGGCCTGGCAGAGACAATAAACATTTTCTGTTGTATTGTTTTGTATCAACAAAGTTTAAGTGAATTTACTTTTAGAGCACATTAATAAATTTTCAATGAAGTGATAATGGCAATTCCTATATATTTATTTAATATTATATATTATTTATTCGATAATTTATTAACATATTATAAAAATCTTTAAATGCTTATATGTAATGTGCAATACATGGTTTATGTCGATATAATTATCTATTATCAGGAAAATTGTGTAAATTATGCATAGAGAGATAGCAGCTCTCATATTAAGCATTTTCAGGTTATTATAAAGATCTTAAAATTTGTTTAACTTTTTATGTACTCGTATATCTGAAATGAAATATAACTCTATTATTAATTTTTATATGGGGATTTTTATAACCTCTATTCTCTATAAAGTAAGAAATATCTATTTCTAAGAAGCAATTTTTCTGAAAATAAAATGAAGCCAAACCAGCCGAATAAAGTCGAAACTGGTTACAAGTATAAATTAAATATCAATAAAATATATCTTTTGTTTGTTTACAGTAAACTTCAATCTATACATAGAATAAAAATGTACTGGATCACTGTCTGTACGTGGAAGATATATGAGGAAAAATATTATTGGCACCTTTATCAAAGCAAACAACAGCCAAAAAAAAAGCTTGTTAGAATTTTTGTCTGTTTGTCTGTGCGTTTGTGCACATCATTATAGACACTTTTTGCCCCGAAAAATAAAAGAGTTCCTGGGTGATAGTTAAAAAACTATAGTAACTTATACAGCTTTTACACAACAACTTATGCACCTAATTTAGTAAAATTTGGCATGCTGATACTTTATGTTGCCGGTCAAACAACAGGTTATTTTTTAAAGTTAGATCTGTTTGTACTTTTCTAGAGGCGAACCCGAGCGAAGCTAGTGTGAGCCGCTAGTTATAAATATAGATCCAAATCTGATGGAAGAAAGTAAAAAAGGTTACTCGCCACTGATTGGACCTAAGCCCCAGGAATCTCAAAATTTACACAATCGCAATATGTATTAGGCGATCCCGCTTTTTGTCAGTCCGTCTGTCCTCGCGGTCATCCTGCATTTTTGCGATGACATTCTTTGCCCCGTTTTGATTAAGCTTCACTTGAACTTGAAGATAATTTATTTGATACTCTAAGCGTTTTGTGTTAGAGTTATTTTTTGTACAACATTGTATATTTCATAACATAAAAGACTAAAGAATAAAATTACTACAATCTTCCGAAAATATATGTAGGTACGTAATTTTCTAATGCGCTAACGTTTAGATATTTGACTTACACAATGAAAACGAAATTAACCGAATCTAATTAATTAATGTCAAAATCTATAAAACTTTTAATACACAGTAAACGCCATTTAAAAGAAATGGAGATAGATACATACATACATTTAGAAAAATATTACCCTCTTTCCTTCTGTAGCAATCGACTAAATAGAACCTCTTTCTAAGATGAATTTTACGCAACGAGAGACACATTGATTTCATAATTTAAAACTTAATTCATAATTAAGAGAGCATTACTATAATTTAGTTATAGTTTTGCGAGTGTTAGTAAGTGGATGATGATGAGCAAAAACGCTATGCAGTATTAATTGCAATTTCTGTCAGTACCGATAGCATGCAAAGTGTGAACGTGTGCTACAAATCCCAACAAAATAGATTTAGTGGTATCAGATATGTTAATATTGGTTACTAGTTCTCCACAGCCCCTTGCTCCACTTCGTGCTAAATCGGTATAGTTGACCTTCATTATTTAGGTACCTTATTACAGTGTAACTTTCTATTTGAAAAAGTTTTTTTTTGAATTATTTAAATAGTTGCAGAGGTTATATTCTACATTAAAAATAACTGTATCTTGTTATATATTAAAAAAATATTGAAATAATTGCTGTGTTATTCAATACGTATTTATATAAGTATATTTTTCTTATTCTAATAAGTGAAATAAATTTGTTGAATTATAACAATAGTGAAATTGTATTGTTTTTCTTACTACATACAAAGGGTTTATAAAGATTACAGCTAAATAGAAAGGCATACACCATAGTAGGTATATTATGTGAAACTTAACAAACATAAAAATTTAAACTTACTGAATTTAAACTAAAAACATTCCGAAAATTATTTATCTTAGGGATTTAAAATTGTTATAGTTTTTTTTATTTATAAATAAATTACGTTCAATAAAAGAATAAGTAATATGTTTAAATAATAAAATTTTATATTTCTATGCTGACGCTACAATGGTTGACGAATTGAATTTTGATGAGTGACTGCCGGCTCATTATCATTTTGCGTCGAAACCGCGCCATCTTTGCCAGTGATTTTTTTACCATATATTTAAAGCTGAGTTCACGAATATAATAAAAACTGAGTAAATACTAAAATTATTTACTTAAGTTATAATCATTTATATAAAAATGACTTTTCAGTAGGGAATTATGTATGAAATATAAGATTATGTAATAAAGGCTATAATATTTAATTCCCATAGATTCATTTGAGTCAACTTCTATAAAAAAGACAAAGTGAGATTATTATCAGCATAATATGCCAACATTTTTTAGGGTTCCCGAAGGGTGCCAATCTGTTAGCGGGCTGTAACTCATGAACCATAATAGGTAGAGTGTCGATATTTTCACAGAATATGTATTTCTATAAGATGGCGAATTTCCAAATGGCTGCCATGCAAATAAAAAATATCGGATGAACGGAAGATGGCACCGAAACCTTCGTGTACGGGACCAACTCGCACTTTATCGGTTTTCTTTTATTTGTTCGTTACATACATAGGTTTGTGCAAATTATATACACCGTATAAAATTACAAAATAATGAGGTAATTCTTTAAAATTCATTGATATTTTATGATAGTGAAAGCACTATCAAATCGCTTATGCTCCGGTATAAATCAACCAACTGTCAATGTACATGAATAATTTTGCTATTAAGACTTTATATGGAGTTCAAAGACATATTAATAGATTCTAACTGTCTCTTTAATTTTAAACAACAATGTTAAGTAAACGTGTTACTTTTATAATGTTTTATAATGTTCTAGTGACTGGTGTAATATAGAGTAAAGAAAGGCACGGATTCCAATCTTGAAAAATGAGTAAATATATGCAAAATGATTTTACTTTCTTTAAACATAATATATATGTATGTATTATTTTAAACATTTCGGAAGAAGATCTCTATATTAAAGTAAAAACGGCATCAAAATCGGTTGTGTATATTAAAGAAACATAGCGCACAAACGATGTGGTGGATGCGAATAGCAACTTTATTATGGATAAAGTTACGTATGAAATTATTATATAGATATTAAAATACAATAAATATTGTGTTTTTTTCTTTATTTGTTTCATTTTTAATATGACTAACCGATTTTAAAAGGACTTTTATAAGAAGACACTACTAACTTTACAATTATGAATCTTATCCTTAAAATTAACTACAATTTAATATTAAAAAAGCTATAATAAGTATAGTGTAGTCCCAGCTTTAAATCAAATTTCATATGACAACTCTCACACGACTTATACGAAGCCAGTTTAATCATTTTATATATAATAATTGCACTATTGTTTGTTTAAAACAATATAAAGTTTTATCTGTATAATTTATATTTATAAGTTTTATAAATAATTGTGAGTACTTTTTGGTTTTTAAATTTACGTTATAGGAAGTCGTAGTTTAGCATATACGGCTGGGCTCGTTTAAAGTATTAGAGTTCATGGAATATCCATACTAATATTATAAATGTAAGTTTGTGGGGATGGATGTATGGATGTTCTCTCAATGACGCCAGAACGGCTAAACGGATCTATATGAAATTTGGTATGGAGATAGGTTATAGTCTGGCATAGGATATCGGTTACTTTTTATCCCGGAAAAATGTACGGTTCCCGTGGGATAGATTTTTTTTGGGTAGGGACGAACCGAAGCGAGGCGAGGGTGAGTCGAAAGTAGAATATATAACAAAAAGTTTCCATGTTCTATAAGTTACCATAAATTGTAGAATCTTAAACGCAAATATAACTTGCACTTTTAGATTTGTTAATTGAACCCAAATAGTCACAGACTAAGATACAAAAATGTAAAAGTTTAATATATCCTACTTTTTCCTACACTTAAGCAATTATTTACACTATTGTGACTGTAATCACTACATAATATTATAAAACGTCCTAATAGTTAAAAAAGTCCTCAGCCGCGTCTGTCTGTGTTTGTCTGTCTGTTCGCGATAAATTCAAAAAATACTCCGCCGATTTTCATGTTGTTTTCGCCAATGGATAGATTGGTTCTCGAGAAAGGTTTTAATATAAATAAAAAGTTTTAATATAAATAAAATAGAAAGGTTTTAATGTAATTTGTTAAGTTTTTGTATACATTGGGTAAAATATAACGATACTTGTTGGAGGTGTAGGAAAAAAATAAGCCGTCTGGGAGCTTTCAACGAAAACGCTGCCTAAACCCTTCGATATATATCAAAATAATGTATGGTGGAATTGTGTATCTTATATAGGTCTACAAAAAAGTCAGCGATGGCATATGTCTATCTCTTAAGAATAACATACTATATCCATTTTAATTTAAAACGTACCGTATTTAATAAAAAAAGGAAATGACTATCGATTTCAAATTGATGAAAATAACATAACATATACAAATAAATAGTGTTAAATTGCATACCTATTATTTTGAAGTAAATCAAATATTAAATAAATCATACCTGTGGACACATCTTGCAGTGATACTTTCTCGCGTGGGTGTGTAAGGGCTGCAGTTTTGAAGGCCCTTTACCCAAGGGCTGGGGTACTACGAGTAAACCACTGGTATTTGTACCTCCCACTGGTGACGAGGATGAGGAACCTGGAGGTATATACAATAATATTAAAAAAGTTATTTTTCCCTACCACTACTGCCCCTAGAAGTTATTTTTACCAACCAAAGCGGGTCTTACAATCCAAATCATTATAAGATAATAGCGACTTACCCTAGCTTGGGTGCGTCTCTAAGCTTATAACCTATGTGTTACTCCAGGTTATAATTTATGTTTACTAAATTTCATCGAAATCCGTGAAGTTGTTTCAGTGTAAAGCAGCAACAAACAAACATACATACAAATTTTCACATTCATAATAGTAGTCATGTAAGTATTCTTATTTTTTTAAAGTAATTGAAAAATTGACTATTTTTTTCCGATATTCAAAGGGAATGGAGCAGTAAGAGCGTTGGAAAATGTCAGAGATGTCAATATTATGTAATGTAGAGACAGACGCAAGTGCTTTTCGGTGGTCGAATTTATATAAATTATCCTTCATATAATATTAAATGTGATCAAAATATTTGCAAATAATTATAAGTCAAAACGTATTTCATGCTTTTTTTATGCATATTAAGGAAACTTGCAGTGTATCATTTACATGTATTATATTGCATACTAAGCAACACATATGTTTTTTTTTGTAAACGTATATATGTAGTACTTTTCCACATTTTTATTATAAGGATAATTTTCAATGTTCATTTATCAATAGTAGTAGTGGTCACGTAGTACCTAATTACATCTCTTTTACCTAATTATCATATAACGATCTTGAGGAATTTCGACTAAATGTTTGACAAAATACGTCTTATATTTCAACTATCTATACATATAATAAAATTATGTATCTGTACATTAAATATTTTTTGGAAAATCTTATTAAAATAGTCATTTTCATCGATACAGAGGACGAATCTATCGTTTTTAGATCTCTTGTCTGTCTGTGTGTCTGTGACCGCATCATGAGAATACCACTGTACAGATTTTGATGAATTTGGCATGGCGGTAGCTGGTTATCCGGGTCAACATATAGGATACTTTTTTCTGCGGGAAAATATCTCATCTCTGAGAAATCTATATTAAACGTTTATAAACGCTAGAATATACAGCTTTGATAAAACAGGTGATGCTATCACTTTATGAAATACTAGCGTTCAGATGACCAAGAACCAAATTCTTAGGTTTTACATATAAGTATAATCTTACATTACAGTTTTTGTATTTTTTCTTAAATTTCTTTAGGCACGCCATTTATTTATTTTTTAAACTTCTTTAGGCGCGCCATTTTAGCGAGGGAAAAATAGATTGGGGTTACGATATTTGTAACGGTAACGGTTGTTACGGAAGTGAAAAATTTCATCTATTTTTAAATGAGCGATGAAATTATATCAAACGAATATTGTTAAAAATATTTACTTGTAATAATTTTTTGTATACTATTATAAATATATTTTTTTTCAATCAATTCAACATTTGATTGAAAATTAAATTTTATCTTAACACCATCTGTACTATGTAAATAGTAAAATATGTTTTTTTTTAATCGATAAAAAAAAAATTAGTATCCTTCCTATCCGAATTACTTAAAACATAAATTGAATTACATAAAAAGTACCGATAACCTACAGAAGTTTCACTTATTGAGAATGTACACGCACTCTTTAATTCTTTTTATTATCTCTCCTTTATGAGATACTAACCCGACCGACCTGGTCCGAGGCCCGCGCCGTACAGCATCTGGCTCATGGACTGGTGATGACCGATCCTATCATCCGCTTTCTGATGACCACCTACTGTTCCATCACCTGTGCTCATCTTCGCCTGAAACAGGAAAAACATTTTTTTAGTCTATTTCAAGTTCAAATTATTGTATCATTTGCGTATAATTATTAAATAGATGTGTATATATTAATTATAATTTTAGGAACAATTCGCTTTTATATACTGTGCATATTTTAGTTCAGTTACTCCTTGTACATCAGCTATCTGCCAGTGAAAGTTCAATCAAAATCGGTCCAGCCGTTCCTGATATTAGCCGGAACAAACAGATAGACAAAAATTTAAAAAAAAAATTTTATCAGTACCGTAGATACTTTCATATGCCTTTAATAAAAAGCTTTTTTTTTGACATAACAAGCACACACTTAAATTTTATTTATTTGTATAGAAACTATTTTTAGTTGACTGAGTATGATATACGAAAATGTATAGTTAAACCAAATTATCTTAAGTAACCCTTTAAGTTAACCCTTAAAATTATTATCGCAAACAATAAATAACGTCCCGATATCGTCCCTCAGTAGCGGTCACTTTGTCAAACGCTGCACGCGCAAGAGTAATAGACGGTGGTCAGATAAATCATAGGAAAGCGGTAAGTTTAGCGTTTTTGCTTAATTTAACTAAAATATGTAGCTTAACTATAATTTATCAGTATAAAATGTCTTTTTAAAATATGGCTTAGACAAGATGATAATGTTATCGCTGATGGAAAATGTACAGAAATTACATATCTTAGCGCTATATTAGAATGTCATTTCCGTAAGTATGTAGTTTTTTTTAACGTACTTTAACACGAGAGTTCCAGAGTTCCACCACGCTGGCCAAGTGCGGGTTGGCGGAAATCATTTCCATAAAATCCCCCCATTTGTTTTTCTATTAATAATATCGATTTTAGTCATTCTACATTTAAGAGGAAACTTCAAGGATTATCTACACTAATAATATATTTGGATGTAGGTGATGTAAAATACTTTTTATCTCGACTTTTATTAAGAAATGAGTTTTTTTAGACTCAGTATTCAAGGATACTGGTGTGAGTCAGGGGAATTAGCCGAGATGCATTCTACAAGAACTTTAACGTTTTAAGAAAAATAAAAATTGAATGAGACTGGAAAACACAATATTTAGTTATTCTTTTATACATATTATAATATATGTTTTATTTTTTCTAAAAACGTAATTGAAAAAGAACTTCATCTTGTTTCTTCCTCTTTTGGTTTTAGAGAAGAAGGACTCTCCTTCACTTGATAGAAAAAAAAAATTTAGGACAGATATTTTAAAATATATTTTGTTTAAATTTTATCATAATTCGTTCTATAGTATAAATGTGTGATATAAATAAATTATTTATAATAAAATCATGCCCACTACTCGTTATGATTTGTTAAAATTCCGTAAATTATTGCAGATTCAATCAATTCTACATTTATTCTGTACTATTCCTATTCGTTACGTTCCGTTATTCTATATCAATTTTTTTTAAATAGAGAATTTTAGGTTTCTGGTTTTCAATAGTTATGGGTATTTAGCTCGATCCGGGAATTGAACTCAGGACTCCATGACCTCCACTATGCACGTTACTAGTTTGATACAGTTAAATTATTTAATCATTTTGTAATTGTGTAAGAATATTTATTTATTTGTCCTTATTTTTTGCAGCTAATTATGGGTTAAAGTAATTTTGGATAAAAATTATTCTATATTTATATGTAGGTATACTAAGTAGCTCAATAAATGCTATAAAATACTAGTACATTGCCAAAAATCTACAAACGCACCTGTTAGTTTTTTTTAATAATATTAGGTTGTGTACAATGACAAATTAACTTTCAGGATTTAAATTCTAAAAGTAACTCTTTTATGGATTTGTATGGAAATTTTATAATATTAAATACTCACCGATTGACTTGTTCTTAGAAATGAGAATATTAATTTGTTTGTTTATATATTATTTGAAATATTTGAATTTTACCTATTAGCTTTTGATAGCTGTATCGAAACATTAAAACTTTGACATAACAAAAGAAAACGAACTCTTAAGCGAGGCAAAATATAAACTAACTGATCTAAACAAAAATCAAACTCGCATCCTTTTCATCTACATATATGTATATAAAAAACAAGCCATTTTAGTATCTTTTTCTCCTCTGTTTTCCAACCGATTTTCTTTCTTTTTTGCTTAGTAGCTATTAACGAGCTTTAGGTCGTACAAATAAAGTTTTTTTAATATAGATAGATAAATTCTATTCATAAATGTTTTCCTCAAATTTCCAGTAACGATTATGGTGGAAATCGAGCACTGGACCAACACAAGTATCTATAAATAGGTTTTCATATAAGATTCTACTAACATTAACATTTAACTGTCCGGACCAAATCGAGCGTTACTAATAACTCGGACGGTCCTTATAAATCATCTAACTTAGTCCCCCTACTTGCATTACACACTCTGCATATATAATTTTAATATTTCTACTATAATATTTTGTGACAGGATTTCCTACTAAACTTGTTTTATCAAATGTCAAATGTAATTGACATTTCAATGGCTGTAATTAAAGAATTTAGTTTTAATTTCGCACCCTTTTTAATATATTTTATTATAATTTCCATAGATAAAACTTGCTGGTTTTTATCTAAACCTGGTTATACATAAGCTTTAATCGCGAAGGTTTATATAATAAATTCTAGTTCATATAATCATTTTATTTAGTTGATATTACATATGTATAACATACAAGTAAGAGCTTTATACATCAAATATATTCTATTAATTCAATCGAAGGTAAAACCACCCTAAGATATATTTAATATTAATGTTATTGTATGCTAACAATATGTAACGTATCTATTCTACTCCTAAAGAATATGCTTATAAAAACAGTTAGGTAAAAGCTCGAAAGTTCAAACTCAAAAGATAAATAAATAAATAATTTTTTTTTTAAATAACGTAAGTTGTTTGTTTGTTGTGAATGTTTTAAAATAACGTAAGATTTTCAATTAAAATAATTTGTTCGATCGATGATGAAACGAATCTCTATAATAATAAAACAATTGTTTTATATGAAATTGATCATCCAAAGTTAAGCAACCTATACTATTTTTTAGTTAAATGAATCTATTTCTATACTTTTCTAGCAAAGACAATACCGATAGCGCCACCTTTTGGCAAAATCTATTACTAGCATTAGCCTGTTACTCCAGATCATAACCTACCTGTTTACTAAATTTCATCTAAATTAATCCAGACGTTTCAGCGTAAAGGAGTAACAAATATACACACATAAAAACTTTCGCATTTATGATAGTAGTATGACTTAAAATCGTAAAATTAGAAACGTTGGCCAAACAAACGATAAATTACAAACTATTCGGATCCCAAACCAATGGGATATTCGTTGCAAATTAATTTCAAGATAACGCCCCGCACAGGATGTGAAATTTAATTTAAGTGATCACATCCGCAGTTTAGGGATAAATTGTTACATGCACTCATTATTTGAAACCTTATAACGATGTTGATCGTTTATTGGGAAGCCGAAAATCTTTTTAAGATGGAAGTGCTTAAAGTACTTAAATTATTAATTATTATATTTTTCCAGCAATGGAAAATAAATATAGTAATTTAATATTAGGATTGCTTCTCGCCTTTGACTTCGCTTGAGTGGTATTTTTATGTATTATAGTATAACTTCTCGCTTGTAAGCGGCGTTTCGTGTTGTTAGATAGCCTCAAATAGGCTATATTAAAGCAAAAATATTTCTAATTGTACAGTCACAGAGCTAAGAATGTCCAAATACAAAATATACTCTTCTGTTTCATATGTAAGTATAGATAATAATTTGTGCTGTGGTGGTTTGTCTAATTTAAAAAAAAGTTAATATACTAAAGCTTTATAATTAGAAGTATTCGTTATTTCTGACAGATTACATGCTATTTACAGCAATTGCATATATATATTAAGATGTAATGTTCATTTGCAAAAGAGATTTAATATGAAAATATTGAAAAACATCATCAAATGTTCATTTTTAAGTTAAAATTTTGTAAAATAAAGCATCAATAAAAACATCTAAAACTTTAAAAACTAAAAATTACGTCCAACATCATAGCATTCAACGAGAAATATTTTGGTCGAGTGTCGTAAAAGAAAAATAACTTGCGTCGCTGCAAATTCTTTAGAACACCGCCATCTATCGTCGTTAATAGCGAATTTTGACGTAAACTACCGTCGGTAACAAACAGTGCTGTTTTTCCGACCCACATAGGGATTTAAGGGTTATATAAAGTTTTGAGGTTTATGTAATGGTTGATGAGATTTATATTTTATTGCGGAACGTATAAAGCCAACTTTCTATATGTCGTGATTTAATGCTTCATCCAACTTTATTTTTATATTTTCTGTTTGTTTCTAATATTATATGAAATGTGTTTAAATAAACAAAAATATTATGTAAACAAAAATAGTTAAATAAAAATATGTACACGTATTATTAAATACAAGTTTTATTATTCCATTATAGGTTTAATTTATGGAAAGTAAAGTTTAATTTATACGTACATTATAAAGGTAACTACATTTTATTTTATAAAAAAATCTCCATTAATATTTCTAAATATTAATATAATCTTAATACTAATTTTAGAAAAAAAAAAACAAATATCTTACAATTGTACTATAATTTGGTTTAGAACGATTAATTAAACATACGGTAAATTGATTACAATTTTCAAATTATAATCACATTAAAAATCTACAGAAAATCCAAAAAGGCGTATCTCTGCATAGGACATTTGCAAATGAAACCTCTTTGTTATTTCTACCCCGTCATTAGACCCTAGGGAAGAACGTATGATAGATATGTCGAATTTGGAGAAAACACTGTACTTGACAACGAGCCAAAAACGTCAACTATCATCTAAGAAACTTATTTAGAAATGGAAACGTTATCTGTTAATGGTTTTAAAGTAATTTAATAACCTTAAGTAAAAGTGAAAAATAAGTAAGATGTAATGATTTAATGTATATTCAAATTTTAATTAAATCTATATTAATGATATTATGTACAATATTGACTTAACTCAGACATAAAACTTTTAGTTATTAAAAAAATGTGTCAAGCAAAGTCTAGACTAGTGTGAGTTCTAATTACCAACTTGAAAAAAAAACTACAAATTTATCTTTAGTTCGATAATGGGAAAAATTACATAAACAAACTATAAAGATTACTAAAAACGTTTGCTTATTAACGAAAAGAAGAATAAACCTCCGTTTTAAAACAGAATGTTATTTTAAATTCTACTATAACAAAAAAATAAAAATAAATACTTATTAAAAAAATATACGAAATTGAAAAATAAAAATGTCTAATAAGCCATACATTCACAACATCGACCACGCTACTCTCACCTCGTAGCCCTGTTTGATGGTCATCGTGCCTCGTGGTCGGGACCACGCAGCGTAATCCAGACTGTCTTTTTGTTGGCAATGCTGTCGGACAAATATATGTATATATTATTAACAACAATAATGTACATACATACATATATATGTATATTTTTATCATTAATCGACAAGTTGGTTCTGAGTTCGATTACCGCTTAACGAAATTACTTTTTCAAATATCAACTCATACTGCTTTAATTTTTTTTAATTTTTTATTATATCTAGTTTTAGTTTTTTTAGACATTTTAGTAATGAAATAGCATTTTATACATATGATTATTATTTATTTATTACGCAATATGAAAATTATGAACATATTTAATGGCAAATTTTAATAAATTACAACACAATGAATGTACTAAAAAAGGAATAGGTTTTACTTTTTTTACAACCTGTCCGATTGAATGTAGCTCAAAGCAGCTAAACTACATTTAAAGGAAGTAATATACATTAAAATAGATTACGTAGGTAATATCTTAATAACGTCTAAATTAAAACCTTAGATAATTTTTGTTTCGATTGCTCTATTAGATCTAAAGATAAATACTATTATATTTTGAGCTTTCCCTTCTATTTCGTTAAAAAAAGCGTGGGTTATGTTTCTAAGTGTAGACTAAGTGTATAATTACGCAAAGCTAATAAGGATTAGAAATTACCTATTAAAAATTTATTTAAAAAATAATTATATTACTTAAAAACGTGTTTTAAATCGTTTAGTCGTTTTTTTAAGTAGTAATTGATACTAAATTCGACGGTTTTAATGATAATATAATGAAGAGTTCTATTATTCACCTACGGACTTCAATATCAGATCAGCCGAATGGTTCCAAATTATTGGATTGCCACTCGGATTTCACATTTTGCAAAGTATCTATACGAAAATTAGAAGTTTTTTAAAATCTACTTACAATATTTAAAACAGAAAAAAAAACCTGCTAAAAACTATGGAATTTTACCAAAATTCATTAACACTGTAGTACAACTGGTTTTAAATAATATAGAGAGAATATTTAAATAAGATTTTAATTTTATGAAATACCACACACGTTCCATAGCCAATCGTTCTATACTTATAAATTGGACCCAGGAAACCACTTTATATTTGTGTGTTGGGTACAATTATAGAACATTTAAGCATATTTTCTGGTACAAGACTTTAACCAATTTAAGTTACTGAAACGCACGTACATAATCTGTACCAACAATACCAATATTTCTCCATTATTAAAGATTTCTAATGCCTTATACTATATCTTTATGTACTATATAAACGATTTTATATCCATGACCCGGCTAACATATAAAATGTTAGTCCTAAACTAGCTCTGTCCCTCTCTTGCCTAGTACGTGAGAGGGAGTGGGATGATCACGTGACGCAGGCGAAGACGTGTATGTATGTGGGCTCTAGCTCCTTTTGAATGGTGTAGAGTCGATTTATTTTTTATAATATTCGTGATTTTTTTTTAATTTGTTGTTATTGATTTTTTGTTTTATATGCAACTTCATATTATTGATCTTACGTAATGAATAATTTCTTATTAAAAATTATTGCTTAAACAGTTAAGTACTTAATGCATATATTATAATTCAAAAACCTAATTATTTTAATTTATTAAATATTTTAGGTAGTATTATTTAAATGGATGAAGTATAGTAAAAGTAATAACTGTTAAGGTAATATTCGAACACTTTAAAAAACAAATTATTTAAAAATCAGCTCAGTCATCATTATTATACAAATACATATTATTAAACTTAAAAAAAAAACTAAATAACATAACATCAACTCCATCCCATCGCTGTTTCCAAGAAAAACTCGCGACACAAGTATTTTTCTTAACCTATCCATGTGTGCAGTTTCCATGTGTGCGTACACGTGTGTGTGGGGTAGTAAAATATTATGCTGTCGGGTCTAGAAATAACATTGTATAGATAATCAATAACAGAGCATTTTTATGTCGATCTCGAATCTACGGCGGTATCGCTTGAGGCAGGTTAAGTTTCTTGAAAGGTTTGGAAAGGAAACCAATTTATTAGAGCCTCCTTGGACTGAGAGATGAGAGAGAAAGAGAATATAAGTCCACGTTCTGCTCCATTTTTAACTCATAGGGCTCTGGAGATAGCTCTCCAAGGTTTTGGTTTCGTGTTATTAAGTAAAATTATATGTGGTGAAAGGATAATTATAACGGTTACCTTTTGTTTAAGTTAATATTGTGTAAAATTTTTACTAACAATATTGCTAATAATTTTCATAATCTACACATTAAAATTCTGAGTCGATTCTGTACATGAAATATTTTTTGGAAAATCTTATTAAAATAGTCATTCATATCAATATGGAGGTCGATTCTATAGTTTTTAGAATTTTTGATTTGATTTTGATTAAATTTGGTATAATAGTAGCTGGTTATTTGGGTCAACATATAGGATACTTTTTACTGTGGGAAAATGTCACATCTCTGAGAAATCTATACTAAACGTCAAAACATAAAATACATACGTATTTAAATAAATTTATCTCCTATACGAGTTATACTTTAACTTTCAATTTTAAATTTCCTTTATGTCATTATTATTTTATATCATACATAATTTAAAACATATACAAAAGCATTAAGAAAAATATTTGAAGCTTAAACAAGATAATATTTATAGCTTTTTCATTACACCTATCCTTTTCGTAACGTCTTTATCGATGATTTCATGTATTTTTACTATAACGAAGTTTTTAAGACAGTTATTCTTACTTAAGTAAACGTTTAGTAACAACAGAAAAGCTAAACGATGATTAACAGAAGCCAAGGGTAGAAACTCAATTTGTGGTGTTCGTTCATTTGTCAAACTTAAATGTCGGAACTCGCAGGATATATGGACGTCTTAGAATATAATGTTATTTTCCTTGTATTTATATATATATATATATATATATATATATATATATATATATATATATATATATGGGCTAGTTTTGCTTTCTATTTTTTGTACATAGATAGACTATAACATGTAATAATACATAGGTTAGTTACTATTACTAGTAAAATTTAAAGGTTGCGTGCTATACAATCTGTACATATAATAAAATTGTAACTAAGGCGAATCTGTACATTAAATATTTTTTGGAAAACTTAACCTATTATTTTTGAAACAGTAAATTAGTATTCAATTTTATCGAAATAGGCTTAGTAATATTATTATTTATAGTTATAAAACTCTACCAGAACCTGTGGCTTCGCTCGCGCTATAATTACAAAAATCTCTAAAAAGGTAGCTTTCATACAAACTTTCATCCCCTATTTTACCCCCTTATAGGATGAATTTCAAAAAATGCTAAAACATGTATTTATTTAATTGTATTAAAGAGCATTAATACCAAGTTTCAAGCAATTTTGATGATAAATGCCAGTGGGATTAAGATGAACTCCCTCGGTAAGAAGTATCCTATGTCACTCTCTAGCTCTCCAACTATCTCTACACAAAAAACACGCCATTCGGACAGTCTGTTTCGACGTTACGTTTGTCCCTCAGAAACAAACAAGCACACTTTCACGTTTATAATATTAAGTGTAGATATGGATTATCGCTATGAAAGTTTTGTGTTTAGTCAGTACCTTTCTTACAATATTTAATATTTTGCATAAAAACTAATTTAAATGTTATTAAAGTCACTTCAAAAAGCTTTTAAGAAAGCTAAAACTATGAGAAACCTGCTGTGTTTCTTAGTAAAGTGCCGTTTATTTCATTGAATTGGAAGTTTGTACAGATCGGAGCTAAAAGAGGTTAGGTTAAGAAAAAATTAAACAATTTTGTGTATTGTCAATTGGGATGTGATTCAACTTTTATTTGTAGTACATTGTAACGAAAATCAAATTTACTTGACAAAAATTAAAACAAAGAATTAAAAGTATTGAAAATTTTGTTCACTTCTTTATATATACTAGTTTTACTTCGCGACATTATTCGTGTTGTTTATTAAAATAAAATTGTTATACTGCTAAAGGTCGTAGGGTGATGATAGCCTATAACTTTCTTCAATCAATAAGATGGTTTTAAACAGCCAGAAACCAGAAAAGTAAAAATTATAATGCCTCTAATATGACTGATGGTTCCAAAATTGGCGCATTTAAATAAAAAAATAAGAATTTTCAATTTTGACGACACGTTTGGCTCACTGTGTAGTGACCCTACTTGCTGTGCCAGCGGTCGCGGGTTCGAGTCCCGCTGAGGGTATTCATTGTGTGATGAGCACGAATGTTTGTACTACAGTCATGAGTGTTTGTATTTATAATACTATGTATATAAAGTTTATATATGTGTAGTGTATCAACTATCTGGTATCCATAACATAAGCCTCGTAGCTTACCATGGAACTAGATGGTGCTGTGTGTTAATGTCCCAACATATTTATTTATTTTAGGTTTTTGGCAAAAATAAATTTAGTTTAATTTTCATAAGTATTTCTATAGTATAACTAATGGTCAACATCACACTGCTATGTATTACATATACTAAATTTTGGATGTGTGTGTATATGTTTTTGTATGTGTGCTGTTCATATATGATTTGGAAGAAGAGCACACAGGTAGACTATGTGACCTTGGAATAACTCATAGGCAATAAAATTTGCCAAAAGGTGGCGGTGCATGTATAAAGTATTATAAATGTAATATGCATCTAGGAATCAATGGTAAGCCACTCGTCTTCTATCTTCCATATAAATAAAAATGAATATTCGTACGTTTGTCCTTATACCATTCTAAGCGATTAATCTGATTGTGATGAAACTCTGGTGGGATATACTATATACACCTGCGAAGGTTCTTGGCACTAAAAAAAATCATTGGACGTTCGTCTTTTATGCGTTCCTAAACCATTACCAACTATAAGCTTAGGTTGTCGTTACTAGAACTTAGCTAACCGAGGGTAAGTCGCTACTAATATAAGTGATTTATTTAAAAAAACTAGCGACTCACCCTCGCTTCGCTGGGTTTCGTCTCTAGCTTGATTCCCCATACAAACTTTCATCCAAATTTTCATCCCCTTAA